GATGCAAGCGTTCAAGAACTGGTGTAAAATTGCGACTTTATCCATTTTGACACGTCAGGCACAACCATGTCGTGCGAAATAAAACTTGTGTAAAATTGCGATTTTGCAAGGTCAGGCACAGCCCTTTCACGCAAAATGATTGTCCAACGTCATAAATTGTGATTTTCCAACGCCGGATGCAACCCTTTCGCGCGATATGATGGCCGAACGTCAAAAACTTACGTAAAATGATTTTTTGAAACGTATAAAAGCTGCTCTGTGGAATCGGTTTTTCTGTGGGAAAGCGTCTGTGTGCGGAGGCTTCTCTGTGTGAAAGCTTCTGTGCGTAAAAGCCTCCGTGTGTACATGCTTCTGTGTGTAAACGCGTCTGTGTGTAAAAGCTCCTGTGCGTAAAAGCTTCTCTGTGTAAAAGCTTCTGTGGAAAGCTTGTAAAGGCCTCTCTCTGTGTAAAAGCTTCGGTGTGTAAAAGCTGCTCTGTGTAAACCCTGCTCTGTGAACAAGCTTCTATGCGTAAAAGCGTCTGTGTGTAAAAGCTCTGTGTGTAAAGGCGTGTGTGTGAAGCTTGTGTGTGTGTAAATGCTTCTGTGTATAAAAGATGCTTTGTGTAGAGGTTTCTTTGTGTAAAAGCTTGTCTGTGTAAAGCTTATGTGTAAAAACTCCTGTGCGCAAAAGCTTCTGTGTGTAAAGGCTTCTGTGTGCAAAAGCTGCTCTGTGCATCTCTGTGTAAAAGCGTCTGTGTGTAAAAGCTGCTCTGTGTAAAGGCCTCTCTGCGTCAAACCTTCGGTCTGTAAGCTCTGTGAACGTAAAAGCGGTGTGTAAAAGCTCTGTGTGTATGTAAAGCTTTTGTGCGTGGAAATGCTTCTGTGTATAAAAGATGCTCTGTTTAGACTCTTCTCTGTGTAAAAGCTTCCCTGTGTAAAGCTTCCGTGTGAAAACCTCTGTGCGTAAAAGCTTCTGTGTGTACAGGCTTCTATGTGTAAAAGCGTTTGTGTAGAAAAGCTTCTTTGTGTAAAGGCGTCTGTGTGCAAAAGCCGCACTGTGTAAAAGTTGCTCTGTGTAACGGCTTCTCTGTGTAAAAGCATCTGTGTGTCAAAGCTGCTCTGTGTACAAGCATCTGTGCGTGTGTGTGTGTGTCTCATCTGTAAAGATGTAAAACTTCGATTTCGTTTCTACCTAGTATGCAGGGGGGTGCAGAGCACAGTGGAGACTGCACCCAACGAAGCTATCCACTGGTGCTGGAAGCAGAGTCTGATCAACTCTGTGTACCTGCAGAATTTGGTTTGAACTGTTGAACAAGCTGTCCTGTTGCTGCACTGTTGTCGCAATCTGGAATCAATGTTGGTCATTTACGATTAGTTCAGCTGCATCAGAACCTTCCTCAGTATTTTCGCCGAAACCATGTCGCCGACAGTATTTTTGATTTTTTGGAGTATTTCGCCGAACCATGTCGCCGATGTATTTGGATTATTTTGTCAAAACCACGTCGCCGATGTATTTTTTGACGACGCTCTTGGACATGGAAATCATTCAGGAGAACGTCTATTATTCGTAAGATGCATCGTTAATTTCTTTGTTTCGTATCTAATCTGCATGTTTCAGGATTCAGTTCCTGCCGGATCATATAATGATCCATTCTTGTCTAGTGTGATTCCTATGGTGACTCCGACATGGTGCCATAGGGCCAATTGAGGCAACCCCAGTTGGGGTCAATGTCGACTGACTTGACTTCCGAATTTACACATTTTAATCCAGTAATTCATTTAAGTAAAGTGTAACAGCTGGCCTTTCCGTTTTGCACCGTTATTTGAGTGTCCCGCTGATCCTGCGGTCCCTTGTGAAACCTTGTGGAATACAACTCTGTGACTGAGAAGCCGTGCTGAACATTCAGAAACCTCCGTTTTTGCAGCAACTTTTGCAGCGTCATTGCATCACGTCACGACATTTGAATCAGGCAGGCACACGACTTGCAGGTGTGGTTTTCTTTCCTTTTGGTTCTCTGGTGAGGTGAAACATATTGTGCATCTAATTCGTTGGAACTTGACAGCCGTTTTTATGCCCTTGTGGCTGACTGGAACACGGGCCTGTTGTGGCACAATTGCACGACCTTTAGGTTTAGGAACTGAATCCTGTTTGTGAATCCTGTTGCGCGACTTTCCATTGTAGTTATTCTCTACCTGAGCGATGTACCCGTGGACTACTCCTCCGACGTCATGGCCTACCCCGCCGCAGTCTGCGACTCCATCTTCGACGTGGCCACCGCAATCAGCTTCTATTGCATCTACACCCAGACCACCTACGACATGGCCAACGACAGCACCACCTCCGACCTCAACTCTTCAACCTGCATACCCTATTGAAACACAACAGTATTTGATCAATCCGCCTCACATGTCCGGAACCGCACCAACGCCAGTTGAACATTCCCTGAGCATCGGATATTGATTACAATCAATAAACTTTTGAGAGTTTTGATTTGTATAAAAAATCAATATTTCTGAATTGATTTCTCCAAAAAAAAATCAATCTGTGGAGGCCAAAGTTTCCATTCAAAAATCAATATCAGATCACCAAAAAAAGCAAAAAAAATCAATTAAAAAATCAAAAAATCAATACAAAATCCATTATCCCAACTTCCAGATCTCCCTGCTGCAGCAGCATTTTTTCTTGTAGCATCAGCATACTATGTACACATGCATGACCTTTTTCAAGGTGTTGGGTCTTGCTGATATCCTTTCTCAAGGTTTTGGGTGATCCTTTCTCAAGGTTCTGGATGTAGCTGTGTCCTTTTTCAAGGATCAATGTTCATACCAGCTTCCTGCATCCCTTCTCTGGTCAGCAAGAAGTGAAGCAAGATCCTGTATTTAGGAGCTACCTTAAGGCTCAACCTTGTGGAGCTAACCCCAGGACTAACACTTGCTGTGAGAATGCTCATTTTTCCAACAAAATCCTCTGAACTAAATGTCCAGTGGGTTTTTGGATTTAAAAACTTTGCATTCTCAAGCAAGTGTTGGAATGTGTGATGTTTCATCACAATGTTAAACAAGGTTCTCCCTTTTTCAAGGGCCCAGCCTGAGAGATGGCTGTACTGGGTGGAAAAGCTGTCTCCCAGCTCCATGGCCTGTAGCCACTCATCATTTGTCAAGAAGACATCAGCTTCATCAAACAAATGAATGAGAGCTGCCATGTCATTCACAGCATCCAGCATGGCTGCTTCATGCTCTTTTTCAAGAGACACAAGCTCTGCCAGAACTGGGGCAAAAGCTTGGAGAAACCATTTGGTTTCTGAGCCTTTCAAATCTAATTGAGCAAAGGTCTTATGAGGCTCTTTGGGGTTGCAAACCATGCTGAGTCGAAGGTTTGTCACCCTTTGAGATATCTTTTTCAAGACATACTCTTTCTGTACAGCTTCAAAAATTGTACCTAGCCTCTTTTCAGGGGGCACTTTCTGGGCAACACCAACACCATCATAATAAAGAAAATAGTGAATGATAGATCCCAGAAGGTGGCCCAGCACACCTTTGCAAAACAAAATGTGGAGGCAATCACCCCTCACCATTTTGGTGCTCAAGCCTGGAATCACCCCAGAGAACAAAGCATGTGTGCTTTTAGGCTTTTTCAAGCACTCCTCATGGGATGAAACTTTCCAGCCTTGCTTCCCTTTTTCAAGGGTTTTGTACCACATGTTTTCCCTTTTTCAAGGGTTTTGCTGCAAGAGCATTCCCAACAGGGGCTCTTGCTGGCCCAATGTGGTAACTTCAGGGAGTTTGAGAAAAACTCATGGTCCCCCTGTATGGACCAAAGGACACCCTTAAGTCCTTTTGCCAGAGGTTTTCCTTTCTCAAGGAAAAAAGGGGAATCTTTTTTCAAAGGTTTTCCCCAGGGATCATGAGATGGATGGTAGCCATTTTGCAGTGCTGCAAATGACCAACAGATCCATTCTTGCATGGTGTCCCATGTCTCTGGCACAGTGCAGCTCTTGGGGAAGGATGCAATGTAAAAATGTGAAGACAAGCTTGACATTTGTTGCAACAGGCTCCCCCAAGAGTAGATCATCAAACTATCTCTAGTCTGGTATTCTACACCATCTCCATGCAAGAACAGAGGTAGTGTAGTTTTTTTCCACATCCTGCCATCCAGGGCTGGGTGGTTTTTGAACCTGTCATCACCTTTTTCAAGGGCTTGGTTCCAAAAGGATTCCACTTTTTCAAGTGGGAAAATGACTTCAAAGGCATTATAGGTGAAAAGCTTGGCAAACATCTGGTGAGGCAGCAGCATGGCAGCTGTGTCCCCATCCTTTTTCAAGGTCTTGGGGTTTTTGCATGGAACTTTTTCAAGTTCAAAGGGGGTTGGCATGTCCAAGCCTTTGCAAAAGGTTGCCATGAGATCCCTGTGTATGTTACCAGGGTGAAGCCCATGGGAACCACATTTTGCAATTTTGACAAGCTCATCATGCTGTGCCCCATCCAGAAGTGCACTCTCAGCCAGCCACCTCATGGTAGTACCTGACACTTTGCCATGGCACCACAAAGACAGTAAAGCAGTAGCCAATGCACTACCAACTGTCTTTTTAGGCACCTTCTTTGGGACTTGCAAGGCTTTTTCAAGGTGAAAGCCCCTGAGTCTCTTGGCCATTGCAAACCTCCTTTTTCAAGGGGTGTGTCAAAGCTCCTTTTTCAAGGGGTGTATGACAAACCTTTTTCAAGGTGTAGGGGTGAAAAACAAAATTTCCTATTTTTTCTCTACTATTTGAGCCAAAACAAAGCTACCACTGACATGCAATGCTTCCCTGTGGCCTTAAACCCCACTCATGCAGGGCAGCTTCCAACTTTTTTCTTTGCCTCATATGGTAGATTCATGATCGACAGATTTTCACTGCCTTTCAAAAACCAGCTTTTCCACAAGCTTCAAAAGCACAGCTATTCTACAGGCTGAATTAACCTTTTTCAAGGATGTAGATACCTTTTTCAAGGTGTCCCAGGACTTAGATCCTTTTTCAAGGATCATTTCTTGCCCTTGGAGGAAGCAGCCTTGCTCACAGCTTTAAAGCTAATCTGTACAAGCTCTTTGGCTTCCTCCTTGGCATCCTTCATGCAAGCACATGCCTCCAGGATGTGCTCCTTCAGAACCTCCACTTTGTTCTTTTCTCCTTTTTCAAGGAGTTTTTTGGTTTTCTTCACCATTTCATGGAGGCCATCCAGAACACCTTGCTTGTCCTTGAAGGATTGCTTGCTCAGGTAAGGGCTCTTTTCCACCTTTTTCAAGGCTTCCTCAAAGTTGCTGGAGGTGCTGGTGAGCATGTCCCTGGTCTTCTTTGCCTTTTTCAAGGCAGTTGCCAGGTCCATAGGCTCCTCATCAGCATCCTCAAGGGGCTGGGGCTTGGGCTTGGCCCTGGCTTTACCTTTGCCTTTGCCTTTCTCAAGGCCAGAGCCCTTGGCAGAGCCTTTGCCTTTTTCAAGGCCTCCCAGCAAAATGCTGTGCAAATCCTTTTCCAACATTTTGCACCACTCTGCCTCATCCCCTTCCTCCAGCTCATACTCCTGCCCAAACTGGTATTGCAGGGACCTCTTACCTGCAACAGTCTTCTCAATGTCCTGGGTGTCCTGGTATTCCCAGACATTGTGGCCAGCTTCTCTGTAGATCAGCCGACCTGATGCCAAGTGGACTTCAAGTTCCTGATCAGTCCACTTGGCATCCACTTCCTTCTGGGTCAGCAATTTCTCTCTCTTTTTCAAGGAGACTTCCTGGCTGACACCCTTGGAGACACTGGCAAACAAGCTTTTGTTCTTCTTCAGCAAGAACAAAGCAGTGCTCAGCCCCTTGCCCTTCTTGTCCATCTCATCGAACTCCTTTTTCAAGGATTCATTGCCCTTCTTTTTCAAGTGGACTTGGTGCTGGTTCCATGCATTGCTTTTGTCAACAGGTGACATGGGTTCCTGAAGCACCAGGGCTTGGGTCTCCTCATTATCTGGGTGCTCTTCAGCTGCCTTCAGGATTTTATCCTTCAGGCTGAGCTCCCCCAACTTTTTCAAGTTGCCCTTATTCAGTGTCTGGTCCTTTTTCAAGGATCCTTCCTGGTCCTTTTTCAAGGATCCTTTCTGCTTGACCTTTTTCAAGGCTTTCATTGCCATAGCTGGCCTCTTCATCCTATAAGGTTTGCTACTGAAACTACAACTGACAAATCCAAAACAGCTACAGAGGCAGACATGTATATCGGTTTTGTGGAACAATTTATATAATCTATGTTTTTATAACCATTTAAGATTTCATTTTGTTTTAATGTTTCATTTTTATGTTATATCTATTTCATAGATTTGTGTCGGTGTTTTCATATTTTGTTCCCAAATACATTTTACATATTCATGCCAAATTTTTTAATTAAAAAATATTTTGAAAATCAAAAAAATATATATACATTAAAATAATAATTTTCAGAGGGCATATTCATGTTTGATTGAATATATAATTTTATATTTTATTTTTCAATTAATTTACAAACCAAAACAATAAGTAAACCATATTCTAAATTTTCACATTGTTTAATACCTCTAATATATAATATTTTTCAATAATAATTGTATAATTGTATATTTTATTTTTCAATTTATTTACAAAACAAAACAATAAAAAAAACAATATCATATATTTTCACAAAATATGTTTTATAATTCTTATATATATATTTGTGTTTTTGTGAATTTGTTTCATGGTTTTTAAAAAATATATATATATATATATATATTTCAAAACAATTTATTTCCAAAAACTTTTATGTTTATTATCAAGAAAAATGTTTTAGGGAATATTTTTATTACCAAAGAAATCATTCAAATTTCATTTTTTTGACAACCAAAACTATTTGGAATCCAAAAATCACAAAAAATGAAAAGTGATGAAAAGTGATGAAAAGTGATGAAAAGTGAAAAGTGATGAAAAGTGATGATTTCATCACTTTTCATCACTTTTCATCACTTTTCATCACTTTTCATTTTTTGCGTTTTTTTTTTTAAATAAAAAAATGTTTAAATAAAATAATTCATCCAAGAGAAGTTCATTCATAAAGGGAGAAGACAGAGTTTGAATTTTTGAACTGTGTTCTCAAAAAATAAAAACTATCAATCTGAAAGGCCATTGGTCTTGAAACTGTCTAAACAAAACTTGAACTGGAGAGTTCAGTGGAGTGAAGTCCTTCCAAAAAAATTGAGCTGGGGAGTTTAGTGGAGTGGAGCCCTTCCAAATAAAACTTTAAACTGGGGAGTTCAGTTGAGTGAAATCATTCCAAAAAAACTTCAACTGGGGAGTTCAGTAAAGTGAAATCATTCCAAAAAAACTTCAACTGGGGAGTTCAGTGAAGTGAAATCATTCCAAAAAAACTTCAACTGGGGAGTTCAGTGAAGTGAAGTACTTCCAAAAAAACTTCAACTGGGGAGTTCAGTGAAGTGAAGTACTTCCAAATGAAATTTTGAACTGGGGAGTTCAGTGAAGTGAAGTCCTTCCAAAAAAAAACTTCAACTGGGGAGTTCAGTGAAGTGAAGTTGGGTCCTTTCAAAAAAAACTGGGGAGTTGAGTGAATTTGGGTCCTTCCAACACAGAAATTTGAACTGGAGAGTTCAGTGAAGGTAGGCCCTTTCAAAAAAAAACTTCAACTGTGGAGTTCAATTTTTTTTATTGAAAGATAGTTTTTTTAAACAAATATAGATATATACATGTATGTTTACTTTAAAAGGTATTCTTATCCCTGAACCCTAAAACCCTAAACCCTTATTATAGTTCTTAATTATTAAATAATTTTCTTTATATATTTGTTCTTTAATATATTCAAAAAATATAACTAAATACTTTAAGAAAAATATTTGAAACTATATATAATTATATAGTTTTTTAAAAATATATATTCAAAAAATATAAATAAATATAGTTTCAAAAATCTAAATAAATAAATTTAAATACTTACATTATATTTAATGTATTAATTAAATATATATATAATCATATTTATTTAACTGTTTATTTTTTTCACCATATATTTGCCTGGCCATGTTGGCCAGGCAGGTCTCTGCTGTGCAAAAATTGGCCACCCCCCCATGTCAACAGAAACAACAATGAACCATTTAAACAATTTAGAACACTTTGGTTAGTTGATTTATACTACTTTGTTTTTTCACTGGGGGGGTGGCCAACACACTAGGTGAAACATGCATGCAAATTAATTAACATTTTTTCAAGGGTTTTGAGCCTTTTTCAAGGCTTTTGTGCATCATGTTTGCTTGGCCACTTTTTCAGGGGGGGGGAGGATGCCTTTTTCAAGGCTCTTCCTCCTCAGTCCATGGCTTCAGACCAGGCAGGTCCACCATGAACTGAGCTACTGCATCTGCAAGCTGCCAGTAGCCCCCCCTACCAATTTGGTAGGCCTTGAGGCCCCAGGAGTTGGCCTCATTGATGACCTCTGAGTTGTCATCCATGATGCACAGGGCTCCAAAGTGGCATGCCCAGTCCACTTTGGAGTCATGCCCAGTGAAGGCATAGGTGCACCTGTAGGACTTCACCTTTTTCAAGGTGGAGCCCAGCAGCTTTGGGATTTGGTCCATGGTTTTTTCAAACCTGTCCTCAGATCCCACCCAGCTGATGATGTGGACATCCACAACAGTCAGCAGCTGCTCCAGAGCCTGCAGGCTGGCTTCTGGCATCTTGTTCCCTTTTTCAAGGGTATTGTGCCAGTCCAGCACCACACATGGCTTCTCTGCCTCCTTTTTCAAGGAGCTGGATGCCTGGCTCTGGTTCTTTCCCTTTTTCAAGGGACCTCTGGAGGCTGCCCTTTTGCTGGGGTCACTGGCCTCCTTCAGCCTCTCCAGGTGGACATTCAGTCTCTCCCTGAGGGCTTCCTTCTTTGCCACCCCCTCCCTGGGAGTGAGGCGGGCCCTGCTCAGAGACCTGCTCCTGGGCCCATTCTTCCCTCTGGCAGAATGGGTCTCCAGGGCATGCTCAACCTTTTTCAAGGCTTCCTCCTCCTCATGCTCTTTTTCAAGAGCTTCAGCTTTCTGCTTCTCCACAGAAGCCAATGCCTTTTTCAAGGCTTCTTCCTTCTCCTGCAGAGAAGCTGAGGAGGTAGCAGGGGGTCTGCCATGGCCAGGAAAGTCCATTGCAGAACCTCCCTGGCCTGCCTCCTGGCTTGGGAAGTAGTGCCACTCATGGCCTGCCTTCCCTTGTTGTTCACTTTTTCAAGTGAATCCTTCTTGGGGGGCATCACTTTTTCAAGTGGACCACCCCAGGTGGGTTGGTTTTTTCAAACTTGAAGTTTTTCCAAACTCTGTGTGGTTTGGTTTTTTCAAACCTGAAAAGAGTTTTTTCAAACTCTGTGTGGGCACAGCTACAACTACAAAAGGCTAAGCTGTGGGTTGTAGTGCTGTGACTATGTAGTGCTGTGACTATGCTGTGACTATGTTGTGGCTATATGTCCTACCATACATGCATGTGCTGTGCAGTTGTGTCTGTGCAGTTGTGTGTGTGCATCTATTGTCCTACCATACATGTGCTGTGCTGTTGAACTGTGTAAGTGTGCATGTGTGTGTGTGTGCAGTGACATGGTCATGCATGAGCCAAGTTAGCTGCAGGGCACATACAGGTTACTAACCAACAGAAACAAAGACAAAACTTCCAACTTTCAGGGGTAACCCATTTAGGTGTTAAACCACATTCCCCTTTGGTGGGACCATTTTTTCAACAAACACACCTCATATATCCAAAACTATGTACATACCTAGGGAGCTATGTACATGCAGAGGTACCCTTTTTCAAGGGAGCTATGTACATGCAGAGGTACCCTTTTTCAAGGGTGCTGCCAGGATCCATACCTTTTTCAAGGTTTTTGTGTTTGTGGCTGCCTTTTTCAAGGGTGCTGAAAACACAAACTTTCTCTCATCTGGATGGCCTCATGCTTGGTAATGTGCTCCTTCTCCAGTGAGTCTTTGATCCTGTCGATGATCCACCTATATTGGAGGCTCATCTTCTTTGTCACCTCTACAATCAAGAATTTGTCTTGATCTTTGGAAAACCTGCCAGTCAAATAAGACCTTTCAGGGTTCTTGGCAGTGGTCTTAATTTTTTTTTCCCAAGGCTTTCTCTCTGTGGCTTCAACCTTTTTCAAGGCTTCATTCTTAGCAACCTTTTTCAAGGCTGGTTTTTTAGACTTTTCCTTTTTCAAGGAGGCCTGTTTGGCAGATGGCTTTTTCAAGACACCCATGGCATCTTTCAAACCACCATGCACTTCTGCAGAAGCTTGTGGCTGAAAGTTGCCCCTCTTTTTCTTCCACAACCTTGGTGGGCTTGCCCCTTTCTGTGGGCTGGCCAAAACCTTGGGGAAGCCATGAGAGTCCAGGGAGACATCACTCACTCTGGCCTTTAATGACCTTCCCTTTGGCACTATGGCATTTTCTACAGCTTCCTTTTTCAAGGGGCTGTCGCCCTTTTTCAAGGTTCTCTCTTTTTTCTTCAAATTTTCCTTCTTTACCTTTTTCAAGGATGTGTTCTTTTTCTCTGTGCTTACTTTTTTCAAGGTCTCTTTGCTTCCAGCTTTCTGGCCATCATCCTTTTTCAAGGCATTTCCCTGGGGCACCTTTTTCAAGGTGTCTTTACTGCTTCCAGCTTTCTGGCCCTCATCCTTTTTCAAGGCATCTTCCTGGGGCACATCTCTCAACACCACCTTTTTCAAGGTCTTGTTGAGCTCTTTAAATTGAGTAGCTGTCAGGCTACCAATGACACTGCTGGGCATTGTCTTTGCCCTTGCCAGCCTTCTGACATGGTGCAGTACCACTGAAATCCTGTCAGCTCTCAGATTTACAAAGACACTACCATTGTAGTCGCTGGTATTCAGCTCAGGCTCCCTAGTAATGAGATGCAGCAAAGCTGATCTCATTGTCTGGGCATGAATTTCAGCTGAACTTTCCAAGTCTACCAAAGCATCAATGAGGGGCAAAACTTGATGCATGGCTAAGGGGTTGTGGGCAGAATTTCTCGACAACAATTCATACCCTTTCAAATTAAATACCAAGTCCTTGTGTTCAGCAAAGACTTGGTACAGCAACCCCTGGTCTATCAGAGGTTTGCTGAAATGTCTGGCACCCCCTTTGCCAGCCATGCCTTCTTCAAGGCACTCTCCTTTTTCAAGGCAGTCTCCTTTTTCAAGGCACAAGCCTTTTTCAAGGCAGGAGTTACCTATTTTTTCTAAATCTTTTTTCCAACAGCTGAGAGCCAAAACAGCTGGCAGCCACCAAAAAAAAGGATCAAAAGTTTCAACCCCCAAAATCAATATCCCAAATCAAAAAAAAAAATCAATACAAAAATCAATTGATTCAAAACTAAAAAATCAATTAAATCAAAAAAATCAATTGAATCAAAATCAATTAGAAAAATAGGAAGTTTATTGATTGTAATCAATATCCGATGCTCAGGGTTTGTTTGGACAACCTTCGGCATTACATCCTACGTGGCCTTCTTCGACTTCGCCCCAGCCGACAGCTTCCACTATGCCGCCACTGTCATTCGCTTCCCTTGCAACAGCCCCTCATGCAGTACCAGCTCCACACCTTGTACCTACTACAACTCCACCTTTGGGTCCTGATACAACTACCTTGCACACCAACCTACCAGTTTTTGCAACTCCAACGGCACCCACATTTCCGACAACATGGCCCACTGCATGCTCCAACTCCATCTCACGCACCGACCACACCACCTACACCTCTACCAGGCTCACCTTACCCACCTCGTGTTCTTCAATCTCCACCATTGGCTACTACGACATCGACAATTCCTCCAGCTGCACCTCAACACACTCGCCAGTCAAAGCAGCCCCAAAGGTTCGATCAGAAAAGAAACCTGACAAACTACGCCGCTCAGCTCCAAAGGCTTCTTCTGCTTCACCTCCCGCTGCACCTCCAGATCCAGCGTCTACGCCTCCACCGTCTATTTCAGCAGAAGTGGCAACGTTGGGCTCTACAACACAACAACTCGCAGAATCTGTCCGTCTCATCAAGCCCAACAGCAGATGATCCTTGACTCCCAACGCCTTCAAGAACAGCGACAACAACTTCTTCACCAAGATATACCACCAATTGGCCCCACTCCTCCGATGCCATCACCCACCACGACGCCGCCTATACCACTGCCTCCACCCGCCGCGAAGGCCAGACCCACTGAACCTGCAGCCCCGGATCACAATACCACTTCTTCGATTCCACCAGCACCCATTCCACGGTCGTCGACACCACCATCGCGAAGACCCCGATCCAGGACCCGAAGATCACGCTCCCTACGACCCACTACACATTCTCATCGCCGACCACCTCCTCATCGCCGTGCAGACCGACCTCGTTCTCCTCTTCCTCGATATCGATCTAAACCAAACATCCCAAAGATCGCCGAACACCTTCCCCTTACCGACGACGGTCACCACCAAGACGACGCTCACCAACAAGTCATCGACGTCCTCGGTCCAATCCTCCGCCTCGTTCCAGAACTCCTCTTCGTTCTCCTCGAGGCCATGAGATTATACTACGACCAGCAGCACGTCCTTCGGATCCGAATTTCATTCCCACACCAGATGCTGATGACTCTTGGGGCGATTGGACCAACAGCCACTATCCAACAGACCACCATCGTGACTCCACCCGACCCAGATCCCCTGTGGGACCACCACCTCCTGATCCACCATCAAACCCACCTGCACACGCAACAGCACCACTTGGAGCCGTGGCTTTCCGTCTACCTGATGGTGACAGCGAAACTTCAGATGCAGCAGAAGCATTTTCAATTTCACAGTTTGACAAAAATGATATTGAGGTCAGCGAACTTATCTCGGCCGCTGAAGATCCACAACGAGTACGATGCCTGACAGAACTGGACCCCGATCATACAGTATCACTTCGTACTGTACTTGACCAGCCCACCAAAATCCTCTTCAACAATTTCGTTGATGAGATGTTCATTCAGTTGGCCAAGCCATACCGCACCATGAACAACGACCTCATTTTCATCAAGGCCAGTCAAGCCACTGTCATGAACATCGCCAGAGCTTTCGCACAGGCAAGATTACTTGATTTAAATCTGGCAAGGAGAATACAGGCCTTCTATGTGGAGCCGGAGAACCTGCTGACCATCACGGTGCCAACGGGACTACCCAAAAAACCTATTTATCGTGGAGAACACGCGGGCACATACATGAGCTATCACAAAACGAGTTGGGAATCAGTTGCCAAAATTCTAGCTGAAGACTGCATTCCCCCGGCAAGCTGGACAAAAAACGAAGCTGGCATCCCGACCCAATACCCGTGCTACGGATTTTTTGGCATGTCAAGCTATGTACATCCCAACTCTACAAAATTGGCAAAGGACAAAACCCATCACAGGCCTTTTGGCCATTTGTCGCTCCCCAAAATGCATGCGAGCCCTATCTGGAGGAAATGACCAAATTCAACGCTTGTGCAACCTACAAGGGATTGCCAAGGGCAAAGATGGTGCTACGGCAATGAACTCCAGTGCTGCATCAGTATGCTACGTCGCCTCCACTCACTCGGTTTTGCATGGATTGATCACACGCACTCCACAAGCTGTACGCACGTCCACGCTCACGGCACCCAGTGAACTTCCTGACAACCCACCAGCTGATCCAGAACCACCTGCACCATCAACTACTGCCACTGATTTACCTGAGCCTTCCAACCCACCATCAACCACCCATTCCAGATCGGCAACTACCCACCACGAGACCACAGATCACACAACTCCGGACCACAATCGCCATTACTGGAGCAGCAACTCAACATGGCACGACTCGACGCATGCTCATCGCGGCAATTATTCATCGTACCGTGAAGGTCGTTCTCGAGACCAACATCGCGAAGGCTATTCTCGATCCCACACTTCAGCACACGACTGCTCCAGATCACGCTGGTAGGCACTACATCATTGCGGAGTACTTTGCAATCCGACGAGTGCCCCAATGCAGAGAACCATTGAGCCTAGTGGCCCCGACCAACTCTTTTTGGAGTAACAATGCTTCTCCCGACATTCGGTATTCACTGCCACTTCTTCCGTCAAAACTTATATGAACGCTGCCTGCATGTCGTGTCACGTCATGTTTCACCTTATGTTTCACCCAAACCTGGCCGTGTCACATCATGTTTCACGCATCTCTGGGCGTGTTGCCCTTTCGTACGGCATTCTCACCCTTACCGCAAATTTCAGTTGGCTTATTGCTATTATCCTTGCCCGAGCATCCCGTGGCTACTGTCTACATCATGGCGTCCCAGGACCTGATCTCTCAATTTAGCCAAGATTCGAATGTTGTCCCTGCGACACAACCTGATCGCTCGCGCACCCCTCGACGACCTCACCATGCACCCAATAGACTGGCTAAGACAAAAATTTGTCTAATCCCTATTCTGTAGAAATCTGACTATTAGGTAGATTTTTTTTGTCTAAGACAACTTTTTTTTTGTCTAAGACAAATTTTGAAAATTTGTCTTAGACAAAAAAAAGTTGTCTTAGACAAAAAAATATTTGTCTTAGACAATTTGTTTGTCTTAGACAAATTGAAACTACATCAGATTTTTTCAAACTGCCTCAAAACTGCCTCCAAAACTGCCTCCAAACTACCTTATCATTTTTCCATCATTTTGTGGAGGGTGTGCAAAAAGTAAGAGAAATAGTGAGGCAGTTTCCCCAAAAATCCCCAAAAAAGTGAGGAAGTTTCCCTTTAAAGCATGAGGTAGTTTGAAGGCAGTTTCCTCGTGGAGGGTGGGCAAAAATCTGACTTAGACAAATTTTATTTGTCTAAGACTCGTGTCTTAGACAAATCTGTCGAGCAAAAATTTGTCTAAGACAAATTTTTTAAATTTGTCTATTAGACAAATTTTAAAAAACTAACTATTAGACAAATTTTTGTCTTAGCCAGTCTATTGGGCATGGCATCAAACGGTACCGACGTTTCGTGGTCCTATGCATTATGCAATGACGACCCCTCGTCCCTTTTGGCATCCATCTGGAGTACCTCCTCCACCACCAATGACCTCATCGTTCTCAACGCGCCCGACGTGGACCCAGACGACACCGCCTTTTCCACCTACACCACCGACCTTTTCACAGCAACCTCTTGACCACGCAAACCTGACACCTCAACGACACACCCTCACCCCGAGATCGCCGAGACCTATGTCATCACCTGGAGGAAGTTCTCCAATTCACGAAGGCTACACTTGTCGTCCCATCGAAATCCCACCAGTTGAACAATGGAAACCGGACGTCGATTTTCATGACTCCAACAAGGTGAATGGTTTGGATTTCCCTTCCAAAATTCGCCAAAGCCGATTTTCCAGCTACAAAGACATCGAAGGTATGGATCCTTTACAAGTCTCACTTTGGAAGTTCTTGTACCAAGGATTACACAACACATGGCTCCGTCGTATTGCCTACGGCAGAGAAACCTTCGTCCTCCCTTTTGACAACATAGGCACCACAGTATTTGTTGCCGAATTGGTATCGCAACTACGAACTCGGAATGTGGATTTGGACAGGCTAGCCACTTTCAGGTCACGCTCCACTGGCCAATTCGTGAACCAAAAGGAGGCCACCCAAACTATGGCAAAAGAAGTTGCTCAGTTGCTTCAATCTTGGCTTCCAACCCAACCGTCTGCAGACGTTGCCAGCCAACAACGTATTCTTGAATTAGAAGCTGAACTGGCAAAGATGAAATCGGACAATGGATCGCCAGCACCTACCGCACCTGAAGGTCCCGGACCTGCTACAACACCTATTGGACGAGCACTACAAGGACAACCATTGGCTTCAACATCGTTTGACCCTTCGTCTCTATTGATCTCCCCGGGATCTGTCAATCCATGGCTTGTGGACAACCAACCTTCGTCGTTGAACGAAACCCAATACAAGAAGTGGTTGAAAGACTTGAAACTTCCTCAACACAAACAAGAC